TTGGGCAGGGTGGTTAATACTGACCTCCATAAGGCTGTTTACCCTTTGGATTTTCACTGAAATTTTATTTATAGAGTTTTGCTCCTCCAACTTTATGCTGTACTGCTTTATGCTTGTCAGACTACGAAGAAAAGCACCTCCTGTTCTCCCCACTTCCCACTGACCTGCCGCAAACTTACGGCCACGTAGTTCTGCGGTTCTGTAATATTTCTACAACTTTGATCATCCTTGGCTTTATCGAAATCATCAGTAAACAGTATACTTCACCTAGGCTTCTCAACACTACAGTTGCCATTTTCCTAATCTGTTATTCCATGTTAGGATTAAATAAAACCACGGGCAAATTTTTTGTCAGCTGTCTGTACTGCAAGTCACAACAGTGCTAGCCACACAACGCCTATCTATTTTAGTGCAGTCAAGCCCTACTGGCAAGTCCCAGGAAGACAAGGAAAAACTCACCAAAATTTCTTTCCTCCTAAATCTTTTGGGTCAAGCAAAAGTTCTGGAGCCTGGTGTGCAAAGTCCATGATCTAATCTGTCTTCTAAACAGATCTCTTGCAAGTTTTGGGGATTCAGAGGGAGAGTGTGCTACAGGAGAAAGCATGCTCCAGCTTCTCACACTGAGAAAGATTCTCCTAGGAAATCTCCTGTAGCATCTATGGGAAAATGTCCCAGGTGGCCAATATGTGTCTCTTACACAACCTGTGTGGTCATTTCTTCCATTCTGGCCTTCCCTCCGCTTCCAATAGCACAAGGGACCTGGCTTTGGATAAATATACACTGTATACTCTGATGTTTTCACACGGCACGCAGACTCTGTACTACAGCGTAAGGTACACTGCGGCCAAATGACATACAGGAGGTACGCAAGAAGTGGAAGGAGACAGAATTCTGTGCACATGGAAAAGCTGAGTTCATTCACTTTTCTGTAGAAATACTGGTTAAATCCTCTTTAAATAGAGTTACTTGGTTTCCCCAATTTTTTGCAAGGTCCATCCTGAACGATGAAAATGATGAGATGCCAAAGGCTACGCTTCAACACTCTGTAATCAATAACTTTTAGCCCCCGTTAACTGAAAAGCTCTAATCATGTTTCTTATTAAATTATTGACCTCTTTCATTCAATTATCATATGGTCTACTTGCCTGGTCACAGAGTAATCTAGAACAGATGACTAAACACTTTACAAAGTCTACTTTTTTTTTCACTTAAAAGACACATGGGAGAAGAAATGTGCCATCAACATCCATTTGATGGAGACAAGTCCATTCTAGAGGAGGAGAAACAGACTCCAGTTCTGCTGATGAGCTCTAAGTGCTCAGGTCACCATGGAGGGTTGGGGTCTAGGTTTGCCACCTTGCTCAGCTTCATTATTTTCGCAATTGTGATGAAACCTGTTAATAGCAGGCTGATGGAAATTTGACCTTGCTCACAATTGACTATAAGATTCACTTCGGTTCCTGTGAAGGCAATCTTCCTGAACTGAGTTTTTAACTGGTTTTCTCAAATGACTGTGTTAGTGGTTGGGGCTGCATCACTGCAATCTGTGGGAGTTTTGTTGTTGGTAACAATGTCTCCGAGGAAACAGCAGTCAGTGGAGATCTATCTCTGTTTCCTGGTAAGGGTTTTTGGCTTTCTATCCAGTTTCCTCTCCTGTTGATAGAGATGACTTATCTGAAGTGTTTGGTTAGTTTTAAATCAGTATGGTTCTGTCAAAAAAAAAAAAAAAATTGTTCAACAAAGCCAGCAGAAAAAAAAATAAAAATAGCTCCTGTAGAGTTCATCTCACACAAACCCATGCCTAATAAGCCGTTTGGTCACTGAAATGACACCTGCAACATTCTCCCTTAGGATTTTAGTTAGCAGTGTTGAACATTTGGGCCACTATATTTAGCATATTCCTGCTTTTGTTTGTGCTTCTGAATTACACAGTATTCAGAACCTGCCAGTATTACTGAGTATACTGCAGGCTCTTCACTGTTTCTGATCACTCTGCAAGGAGATTAAATATAATGAAGAACCACTGTTAACAATAAATTCCTATTTACATTGTCTGTAGGTACTTTGGAAAGCTATTTATGGTAATTTCTTTATATGCTGTAACGCAAAAATGTAGCACAGTACAATAAATTAGTCCTAGACTCATAATGAGATTTTTTTTAATATATATCTCACTTTGAATGTAGGCATGCAAGTGTTGGAAGGTGCTTCAGAAATACGTTGACAGATTAAAAAATAGATATTTTTTTTTTCTTGGGGTATCACTAAAAATTTCTTCCAAAATGGAAGCAGAGAAATAAATATTTGGAATCTATCAATTTTTGCAATCCTTTTTTCCTCCTTATAAGTCTTTAAAGTGAAACAGGAACTACAAATGAATCCAAGTAGCACATTTAGATCGATCTCGGTCAAACAGCCTGAACCAGTGTTGATCCTACTGAACAATGCACTGAGAAAGCTGATTATACAATCTTTATATGGGGATGGGTGGAAGGAAGAGACAGCTGTTTCTAGTGAATAGTTTAAAGCTCTGCCTGAGAGAAAACATCCTTGGTTTTCATCAGAGAGGACAGAAAAGAGTCATTTCAGTAACTTCTGGTGCAAACACTAGGCTCTTAACACAGAAGGCCATCATTCTTCATACTAGAAATACTTTATCATTTGTGCAATTATGATCAGTAATTGCCATAGGATTAGCTTTGTTTCTTCCAGTTTAACAAAATTAATAAACATTCTCTTGTATACTATCTTCTATTCTGACAATCTGCAACAATGTGACCAAATTAGGGAAGAAACAGCTACAGCAACTAGAGATACATGCAAAGATGCAAATTACTGCAGTTAGACATCTTGCATGGGTGCTCCATCTTCAGTTCTGTGCTATGGCAAGCGTAATGGTTTTCTAAGGAGTGTTGTAATCCCAGACTTCTTCTAGATGTAAAAGACAAAAAGGAAAGGATGACACCTGGCCTTTTGAGAGCATCACTTAAGCAAAAAAAAGACTAAGGCAACTGTTTATATCACTACATCATAATAAAGTCATGTAAGACATTCCCACATCCTGTGTATCCTATCATCAACAGTCCAATGCTATACACGAAATAGCAGCCTAGGATCCATACTACATGCTGTAGTACACATCTCCTGCAGTCTCCCAGGTCCCGTACGTTAAAGGACAGCTTCTCAGCCATGAACTGTCTAAAAGGTTTGGAGAGACAGAAAGAGGCACAAAGATACAGACATAGTTTCACCATTATGGGGTCTTTTTACTCTGATTCTTGTCCCAACGTAGTCTAAGGCAGTCTTATGCATGTCCTCAATTACCCCAGTTGCTTGTGGTCTCCATCAGTCACTTATCATTACCTGGGCACAGAACCATTCAACACTCACCTGATTTGCCCCCCAGCATAAACCTTTGACAATAGGCTACCAATCTGCTATTCCAATCAACTGAAGCTAAGGATTAGTCCAGACCCAGGCACAGCCAGATCACAGCTGAGAATTTGGCCTTTGATTTTTACTTGTCACCTGCACAGAAATGCTAACCATTTGCCTAGCCAGATGGATCTGGACAAACATTTTTAGATTTATTGCCAGCATATCTTCCACCCATTCTGGTGAAAAGAACATTTCTGATGAAGATTTCTATCAGGTTTAAACTATTCAATTCTTTAATAAAGTTGCCTGCTTGCATATTGCAATTTGAGCCACTAAGAAAAGTGCCTATCTATGCCATAGCTTAAGAGAAACAAACAGATCATAAACAAACTTTTTTTCCCCAGGCTCTACCTAGAAATTTTCTTTTCTTATTTATGTCACAGGATTCCTTCACAAAAGGGTGTCTCTCATTCACTCAAAGATGTGCCATAGCCATGCTCATCAAAGCACAGGAAAATTTGTTTTGCTAAATTTTGAAGCCACTTTTAAAACTGTGTTGAAAATTTAACTTGACTCAAACATTATATAAGGGGTGGTGGTGGGGAAATACATGTTCAAAGAAAATCAGAGGAGTGTGATAGAAAAATGGGGGGGGGG